CACAAATAGACTTTTATGTTGGAAGGGCCAAAGAAGAAATATATTGGTGCAATAATGGGACATTGAATGCAAAAAGAAATATGTACACAGAGATTATCTGCAATGAAAATATGAATATTACATTTAATAAGTGATGATTTAAGGTTAAAATGCACGAGTTGCTGGATTTTGCCACATGCCTTGCATTCAGTGGTGGAAAGTAACAAAGTACATTTACTTGATTGCTGTACTTCAGTACTTTTTTTTGTATCTTTACTTTATTTCAGTAATTTTTGATCTGCAAGTTACTTGTTACTTTTGGCTTAGCTTAGCTTTGTAATCCAAATCAAAATTTTCTTTTTTTCCTTTTTGAAATGAAATGTCAAAATGGAAGATAGCAGCCTTTCTGACTAAATTTGGACACCACTGTTTTAGATATTTAGGGCAGATATTATCTGTTGTTCATACATTTTATGAAGGCGTTAGTTGTTGCCGTGTGGCCAAGTTGTTCAGTAGGATGAGTTCTCAAATCAGAGCTGCGGTTTCTTTGTGATAATAGATTAAACCTTAAACCTCTATTCCATAGTGAAAGTGTGGGAATAATCATGACTCTCCTGTTTTCTTTTTGGGTTGTTATTAAATAATAACTAATAATCCAAATAGTTGTCCTTTTTGTGGGAATTTTATACGTAGAAGTTCTTTACAGGTGGTTTAGAAATTGTACCAGGTGTCTAAGCGTCAATACATCAGGCGGTTTTTCCTAATGTTACAAGAATCCTTAAAATTACTCTAAAAATTATACGGAGAGGCACTTATATTGGAAAATTGAATTTGTGTTTTGAATACTTAAGTCCTACTTTTAAATGAATGTAATTTTGAATACTTAAGTGTTTTTAAAAGTGAGTATTCAATAATTTAACTTGAGTAGATGTTTGACTGAGTAACCTTTACTTGTAGTTAAGTAAGATTTGACCATGGGAATCAATACCTTTACTCAAGTACTACTCTTGAGTACATCTTCCACCACTGCTTGCATTGTACCTATTTTTTTTCCTGTCTCAGTTTTTCGTATTGTCAACTTGGTGCTGATCAATATTTAGCACAACTGGACCATGAACTGAATAAGAAGTACAAAAAATGACAAACTTATGTGAGTCTCTCTTATGAATATGAAGTCCTTGATTTTTTGTAAATGCAAAAAAACTTCCTTTGACAGACTTTTTATACTGACATATTTAAATTGTTCACATTTTGGAGCTCTTGTTTAGAAATAATTTTTCGAAGAAATTCTAACATACTTTTATTAATCTAAAAAAGAAAAAAAAAACACCAGATGTAGCCCACTGTCTAAGAGAGCCTGAGTTTAAGCAATGTTAGAAAATGCACCCAAAGATTTAGCAATAGTGCTGAAGTTCGTATAATATGAGGATTTCAGAGTGAATTAAATGGCTAAATGAGTTTTTCTTGATTTTGTTTCTTGATAATTAGAAGCTGCATTTGATCACTTATCAGTTGGGACTTTTAGCTGATTATGACGACCACCAAAAAATCAGTTGTGGAAAATGAGCTACTGTTGGTGAGCAAAGAAAAATGGAAGGATAACAGGAGAGTCTAGGTCTTACAGTAAGGTCTTTGAAAGCTGGAACTTGAACAAGGACAGTTAAATAATTACAAACATGATCCAGAGAAGAAGATGAGCATACTGTGGTCAGGAGACCAAGTAAAAAGGCAGCAAGACCAGAAGCTTCAAGCTGTTCTGCCGTCATATGGATGAGAAGAGTTATCTTGAAGAAGGAGTTTCTAAGGAAGCTAGAAATTATTTTTGTTATGTTAAAGAGATTACGGTAGCAAAGCAGGGGTGGAAGACAAAGGACTGAATAGAACGACCAAGAGTAAAGTAGGCAAACGGAGAGCAGACAATGAATTTCATAGGTTGGATGACCCTCAAGGGGTTTTAAATAAATTTCTGCTTGACAAAAACACACAAAAGTAA